CCCATCTCCAAGGAGTGTTTTGAAGGTCCTGATGAATTTAGATTTCCAGCATCTTGTCACAGAACTCAAATCCGCCTCTCACACAGCACGAGAAGAACTGAAAGACTATCTGTCTTATCTGGATTCTCTCTCAAAAACAGAGAAAGATTTTCTCTTGAAGTTGCCTTTGTTTCAAACCATGAAAGGATTCAGTGTTGCAGCTCAATCGAAACAAGCTGTGCTTCTGATCTCAGGCCTAACATTACCAACAGAGCTCCCTATGCCTGATTCCATAATCCAGTGTTCTACTGAGACTGACCGCAGACTGTTACAGCTGCTCAAAGTTCATCTCTTGGACACCGCCGAAGCAGCCAATGTTCTTGTTGACAGCATAAGGAAAGGCGCTTGCAGCAGTGACAACACTAACAAAACAATGACTTGGATTTTACAGCATGGTAAGGTGCTTTTCTCACAAAACGAATCCCTGAAATGCAGCTGTAAGGACTTGAGCTTCATTGAGGTGAATGGACAGCTGAAAAAGGCATCTGACTTTTTTGATCCAAGAATTCAGACTTTTAAAGTCATCTTTGAGTCAGACTTCTTTCCACCGCCTTCATACACTCATTCACTGCAGATGCTGGAAAGCTTAACAGAAATCGGATTACTGAATAAAGAGATGGATGTCTCACCTGAACATTTGCTACATGCTGCCACCCTGACTGACAAACTGTGTGTGAACTCACAAACCGAGGATCTAAGAAGAGCTCAGGTTCTGTTGGAAATGGTGGAAAGTAATGGTTTACTGTCAAGGTTTTCTCACAGACAACTTCATTGCCTCAAAATGTTAAAATGGATCCCATGTGAACAACCTGGAACTGACCAAAATTTCAGTGATAAGTCTCAGAAGTATTGTTTGTTTTGCCCAAATGAAATAAGACATTCTGTGTATAAGGACATTGTTGGACATGTGATGCCACTAACAGGGAAGCTCAGTGACAGAGTTAGCAACAGCCTTGGTCTCAAAGACCTACCACCACCTGAAAAAGTGATTGAAAATCTGACAGTCTTGAAATCAAAAGCTCTGGAAATGGTTAATCCTGACACAGATGTAGACTTCAAAAGACAGCTGCACAGCATTTACAAACACATGCAAGACAATGTCTCTGTATTTGTTACAATGATGGACAATGAGACATGCTGGCTATGGACTCACAACCAGTTTGTTGCACCCCAGGATCTGGTTCTTGAATACCCAAATAATCTAGATCTGAGTTCTTACATTGGGAAGGTGCCGAAGGAATTTTTGCCATACAGAACATTGTTCCAGAAGTTTGGCCTGAGAACAGTACTTTCAAATGAGGACATTTTGGGCATTCTGTACTCCATCCAGGAAACAATTGAAGCAAGACAACCGCCATTTGCAAGTTCCTCAGAGGTCAAAGTGTCAATAGAAATTCTCAACTGGCTCTGGAAAGAGAAGAAGACAGTTGAGGATGACATCCCAGTGCCAGTCATTGCTGGGGGAGGAAAATTTACCCTTAAACCACGATCAACAGCTCTTTTCTGTGATGTAAGCAAAAATGGACTAAAAGAACTAAACTGCAGAGAAGAGGAAATTTATGTCATACATGAGGAAATCCCAAAAGCAGCAGCTGAATGGCTGGGAATTCGTTTTCTCAGTACCCACATCCTTGATCCAGAGGAGATAGGAATAGAGCAGTGTGGACAATCTGAACCAATAACAATGAGGATAAAAAACATTCTTAAAGAGTATGATGAAGACAGTGACATCTTCAAAGAGCTCATCCAGAATGCAGAGGATGCTGGGGCAGATGTTTGCAAGTTCTTGGTGGATTTCAGAGTACACATAGATGCTCCCGAAAGCCTGATTGACCCTGACATGGCTCTTTGTCAGGGACCTTGTCTTTGGGCTTTTAATAATGAGCAGTTCACAGCAGAGGATTGGAAAAATATTGTCAGAGTTGGCTCAGCCTCGAAGGAAAACAAAGTGGAAAAAATTGGAAAGTTTGGACTTGGATTCAACACTGTGTATCATGTGACAGATGTCCCCTCCATCCTTAGTGGCAACACTCTCCTCATACTGGATCCAAATGTTACTCATCTCACAAAACATATCAAACATAAATCAAATCCTGGAATCAAGCTGGATCTCTCTCAACAACAACTCTTTCATTGTTTTCCTGGTCAGTTTGGATCATATGAAAATATTTTTGACTGTAATTTTACCCGAAAAAGTCCTCCTGAACCCTATCCAGGCACTCTGATCAAACTACCTTTCCGAAGTGAAGAAGAAGCTGTCAAATCAGAAATAAGCACAAATGTGTATCAAAAACCCAATATCCTTGATTTTCAACATCTCTTTTCTAAGAATTCACAAACCCATCTGCTCTTTTTAAAGAACATCATTACATTATCCCTCCAAAATATCCCACACAATGGATCAACTCCACCAAGAGAAAATGAAATAGAGACCATCTTCTCTGTGTCCAAAACCACTGTGAGTGCAATGGAGATTCCTGATGACACCAGTGTGTCCCAGCAACGTCATGCTGAGAAATCACTAATGAAACTTGATGGTAAATGCAAAGGACTAATTGAATCTTGCACAGTCAGAATTATCCAAATATCCAGTCAGCAGTCTAATGAAACTAAACTTCAGTTCTGGCTCCTGTACAACTGCTTTGGGACAGATGAGTCCTTTAAAATGGCCATTCACAAAAACAAGCAGGCCAGTTTCTCTTTGCCCATTGGAGGGATTGCTGTGCCCTTGCAAAATCATCCAGAAACTGGAAAATTCAGCACATTACAAACAGATCTTGTTGGACAGGCCTTTTGCTTCCTTCCTCTTCCCATTCACACGGGTCTTCCTGTCAATGTAAATGGCACATTTGCTGTGACAAGCAACCGAAAAGGTCTGTGGGAAACTGGAGTGAAAAATGACTGGAACAAAGCTCTCCTTCAGGATCCAGTAGTGACAGCATATGTTACTGTACTCAAGGCACTAAAGAAAATGTCAGAAAATAAGCAGCTGGTGAGTTACTGTTATCACACCTTTTGGCCTGATAGGGAGAAAGTGACTGAAACTTTCAAGCCTTTAGTGGATGCACTTTACTCAACCATTGTTGATGACTCTGTTGGTCCAGAGCTCTTTAGTGATGGAGAACAATGGCTCTCAATGAACAATGTTATATTTCTTCATGAGAGCATTGAAAATGATGAAAAGATTGGTGACCTTGCAGTTCAAGTTTGCCAGAAATATGCAAAAGGACCCAACCATGTTGTTCCTCTTCCTGTGTGGCTGAGAAATAGCTTCAAACAGGCTGGCCTTGAAAAGGTTTTGCAAAACAGGACCTGGAACTGGGAGAAGTTCTACAGAGAAGCAGTGTTCAGTAACCTAACTACAATGGACTCGAAGAGTAGAGATACCCTTGTGCTGCATGCTATTGACCTTCATATCAAAGAAATTGACAATCTGCTGCTCTGCTATCCATGCATACCCACAAAGGGTGGACAGCTCCAACATGTCAGGAATCTTGTGAATCCTACAGGGAAAGTGGCCTGTCTTTTTGAATCAAAAGAGGGACGCTTGCTTGATGGATCCGAAAATGACTTCAGATCTCCAAAAAGGATTCAGCGTTTGTTGGAACTCGGTATGGCAAATGACCATCTCCCATTGGAAGATATCACAGAGAAAGCGGGTACAATTAATAAAACCTGGAGCATTGACAAAAAGAAAGCATTTGTCCACTTGAAGTGCCTTTTTGAACTGATGAAGAATCACATTTATGATATAGAGTCTCACCACTGGAAAACACTGAGGACAACTGGATTTCTTCCAGCATATTCCCCTGGTGATGCAAAAATGGAAGGAAATGTAACACTTAAAAGGCCCACTGATGTTTTTAGTGACAAATGCTCCCTTCTCGTTAACATGACACAACCAGTGCTGGATAATAGTAATTTGAAAATACACCACAGTGATCCAGTCCTAAAGATCTTGGGCGTGAACAGCACTCCGAAGCCAGAGGTGGTGCTCCAGCAGCTGCATGAAGGAAGCAAACAAGCACACTCCATTGACAGATCCATGCTTTATAAAATAGCATTTGAGTGCTATAAGTGTCTGGATCAGTGGATCTGTGACTCTGGAAATGCCACTTACATTTCACAACAAGCGAGTTCATTTCCATTCATCCTCATTGGTGATACATTTGTGAATGTTGATCGTGTAGCTGAGAACGGGCAATTTGAAGCAAAGCCCTATCTCCACGTACTTCCAGCTGCCTTCACAAGTTTCAGGAACCTCTGGACATGTATAGGTGTTGAAAAACAATTCACGATCACTCAGTTTCTAACTGTGTTGCAGGAATTACAAGCTCAACATGGAAACCAGCCCCTACCAAAGAGTGATCTCTCAGTTGTCTTCACAATTTTAAACAAAGGGATATTTGAGGTCAAAGTCAAAATCACAGATGACTGTCTGATACCCAATGAGCATGGAGTTTTGCAGTTTGCTAGTGAGCTATTTTACAATGACAGCCCATGGATGCCACTCACTTCAGGTGTCACATTATGTCACGAGAATATCCCACGAGCTATGGCTCGCCACCTTGGAATCAAAACAACAAGGCATCATTCTCTGGAAACCCACATAGTTGATGACATGTCACCATTTGCTTTTGACTTTGAACAGCAGGAACAGCTGACTGTTCGTATTAAAAACATAATTTCAGCCTATCCATCAAAAAAGGATATCCTTAAAGAGCTCATCCAAAATGCTGATGATGCAGAAGCAACAGAAATTCACTTCATCTGGGACAAAAGACAACATGGAAAAGAGAAAACATTTGGGAAGAAATGGAACAATCTCCAGGGTCCAGCACTTTGTGTGTTCAACAACAAAGTGTTTTCTGATGCTGACATTAAGGGAATTCAACAGCTGGGAGAGGGAGGAAAGCACAGCATCCCAGGGAAGATAGGGAAGTACGGAGTTGGATTCAACTCTGTTTACCATCTGACTGACTGCCCTTCGATCCTTACAGGAGATGAAGTACTTTGCATTTCTGACCCCAATCAAAAATACATTGAAAATCACTCAAATAACCAACGATATGGCATTGGCTATAAACTAGCTGACACTTTCAAAGAAATGTACGTAGATGTCTACAAATCCTTTCTTCCAGACAAATTTTCTCTTAAAGAGGGCACCATGTTCAGATTACCTCTGAGAATGGGTACAAATGCAAAAACCTCCAAAATATCACAGCAAGGAGTCACTGACCGTGACATGAAAGAACTGTGCTCTGCTCTGTCTAAAGATCCTGAAGGACTAATTCTCTTTCTGAAAAACATCTGCAAAATCAAAGTCCATGAAATCAGTGAAGATTCAAGAGGACTTAAAACCATCTTTGAGGTTGAAAAAAATCTGCCACAGAAAAGTCGGGAAGAGAAAGATGCTTTTGTAAAACATCTACAAAATGCACTGCAATCAGACAAATTAGCAACACAAAAGACTTTCTATGAAACCACAATTTCCACACCGCACAAGATTTTCTATGAAACTGTGATTTCCACCTCAGATAAAAGACAAAGTAAGTGGATTGTTGCAGAACAGTTTGGCTCCTTCAAAGACAGCTTTGAATTAAAACTATCAGACAAAATTCCCCAAGCATCATTAGCTGCACGTGTGAACACAAAAGGGTCCGGCATCATGGATTTTAAAGGAGAAGCCTTTTGTTCACTTCCTTTGCCAGGGAAAACTGGATTGCCAGTACATGTCAATGGAAACTTTGAGGTTGATTCTGCCAGGAGAAGCCTTTGGAAAGAAGATGGGAAGAGTAAGAAATCAGACTGGAATGAGATTTTGAAACAGAACGTCATTGCACCACTGTATGCAGATCTCCTGCATTACATCAGGCGCAGCATTGCAGTCAAGAAAGTTTCAGTTGCAAGTACTGAGTTATGTTTCAGAACAGAATACTTGTGTTTTTGGCCAACTGTGTCCGAGGATGTTTGCCCAGACTGGCATGAAATGATACATGAAGTATACAGATCACTGAAAGAAAAAGGCCTTGATGTAATCCCTGTGATGAAGAGCTCAACACGGAAAATTGCAGATAAAAAAATTAAAGAATACTCTTTTGACTGGTGTAATGTCAGCGAAACAGACTCTACTGAGTCACCTTATCTGACAACCTCAGG